GACACCCCGTCCATTGGAGACTCATCTGTCTGGCGCGCTGTCTTTGTACTTTACTGTTACTGGTGACATTTTGGTGTCACGGTGTCACGATGAAATGGCTCCCCTCCCACGTCGCAGCCCGCGGCGGCGCAACTAGTGGAACAATGAGGTCCCGAGGAGTTGGGGCTGAAACTCAGGAGGCCCCAGCTGGGCGCAACGCCCTAACCCTTCCCCCTCCCCGGCTCCCATGAAATCGGGAATTAGTCGAAGCGTTGCTGACGACAAGTCAGTGTCTGTGTGTCCCAGGCTCTTCCCAGGGCCTGGCGAGGACCCGGGGTGAGGAGAGACAGAGACACAGACACAGCGACCAAGGGATGGAAGCTTTGGGGGTCACTGGGGGCAACCTGTATGTACTGCTTTGACCTCTGACCCCAGCAGAGATCAAACTCTGTCTCACCCATGGCACTGTGGGAGAGTGAGTGGTGTTTGTCTCTGGTAGGGCTGGCATGGGTCAGCTGAAGGGACAGTAGCTTCACTGCTGTGTTATTTTTACAGTCACAAGATCTAGTTCTGTGTCAGTTGATAAATTCTGTGTCATTTTGTCTCTATTGGGTCTATTCATTTTAGCACTAGATGACACGATGATGAATTAGTGATACAAAACATGTGAAGAACAGGTACTGATCTGAAGATGACATCGACTGTCCAGATGTTTTTCTAGAATTCAAGACGTTTTATCTAAAACTCTACAGGTGTAAACTTTCTTTTCACCTGCACAAATGATGCAACTGTCTCCAGTTGAGTTTTACAGGTTCTTGAACAATGGTGTGAGTGATTAAGATTATAAATAAACTAATTTGATTTAAGTCAGTGAACCTGAGACTGACACATTTATGTTAATGAAAGAAATGTCTTTGCACATACACTGGACAGTAATATATCATACCGGTTTAGTATTGATTAACTTTTAACTGCAAACACATGGCACACAAACTTGGAACTGGTCTTACCTTAGGATTCTCCAGGATGCCAGACTCATAGCTGTAATGAAACATAATTTAGGAAAATTACAATCCATTTAACTCTGCCTGAAAAAATAAGACTGAAACAAGGGCTAAAGAAGGTGTATCACATTAGTCTTACACACCTTATATGCATGAGGTTGGCATCCATGCTCCAGGGGGCCCGAGGAGTGACTGGCACAGGGATGCCATGTTTCTACAGTTTGACAGAGAAAGTTGTTTTGTTACATACTGTTCACCTGTAAGCACCTGAATGTTACAGTAGAGACTTTAAAATCAGAGCTATACTTGGCTGTCGAGAAAGTTCTGAATACAAGGAACCGAGTAAACTATTTCCTGTGGCTGGTTTTTGGCATGCTGTGTAACCAAATCTGTTTCCCCACAATGCTTTTGTCTATAAGAGTCTGCAGTGAAAAGAACAAAAACAATCAACAAAAGAACGATATTTTCAGTGTGTTCAAAGGAAAAGTCAGCCATTCAGTGTCAAGATTGCATGATTTCACAAGTACTCCACAAGCCAGCAAGAGAGTGGTGTTGACTAAAACATCACCACCCTCTAGTGGGGAAAACTGGTCTAAACCACTATTCAGTGGGACCATACAAACAACAAGTAGTCTCAGTAATGTAAATGAATGGTTAACTTAACTTTAAATGTAATCACGCAATTAAAATAAAACAGGTATAGAGTAGGGATGAAATAATAAATTATTCTCTACAGGCATCCACTGTATATTCAATACCCAGTGAAGGGATTTCATTTTTTGTTTAAAACCTGTTGAGCTTTTGTCAAGACAGATAATAGAAAGGTTTATTGATCCCTAGGAGGAGAAATTGGGTGTTATAGCACGACAAGAGACAGACCAGATACAGATACAAAAAGGATTAAAACAGGGAGAGTGCTACCATAATATTAAAGCTATATGCAGATATATACAGAAGTACAGGAGAGAAAATCAGTGAGTATAATATATATATATATATATATATATAAAAATATAAATAAATAAATAACTTTTTCAGGCCAAAATTTCACATTTCATACTTTTGACAAATTCTACATAACTATTAAATAAATGGAGTCTGGACTGTTAATAAGTAAGTAATTTTAAAGACATTACTTTGTGCTCTGGTAACTTCTGATGGGAAAATGACCAAATGGTGAATCAGTAATTAAAAATTATTGATATCAATAATGAAAGCAATCTTTAGTTGGCAGCCCTAGACGTCACCAAACTGACCTACACATTTTTTGATTTTGACATTAGCAGACTGACTGAGTTACCTGAGCATATTCCATCAGGTCGATTCTCCCTCTGAAACGGTTGTAGAACTCAGGGATCCTCCACGGTGCAATGATCTGAACAGCACAAACAGAGGGAGAGTCGAATCATTTCAACAGATGTTGTGTCAAACAGTACGAGGCATAACCTCCGTAAGGTGAAACAGCAAACTTACCTTAACTTCAGGGTAGAGGGCGTAGCATGTGAGCTCAAAACGTATCTGGTCGTTGCCCTGAAAAACACAAACACAAGGGTTGAGCTCTATGTACCGCATGTGAGGAGTGTCAATGTCAACAATCATTTTCATTTTTTTTTTTATTAATCCGTGGATTATTTCCATGATTAATCAATAATCTTCTGATCAATAAAATGCCCCTTGCCATAACCGAAAAGCCCAAGTTGAGATATTCGAATAGCTAACAGATTAAAACCCAAAGATTTTCAATTTACTATCACAGAAAAACTAAGTTTTTGAACTGTGAAACTGTAACTGTGAAAATAATTGACTAAATTGCCACATTAACTAAAATTGGGCTTTTAGCTTAAAATAATTACTCATTACTTCTCTGTTGATTGACTAATCAATTAATTGCCTATGTCTGGTGACATATGGCAGGATAATATCCGGCTTGAGTTTTCTTTCTTATATTTTTATGTACAATGCAGAAATACAAAAATAAAGAGGGGAATGAGTTGCACTGTCTTAACCAACCCAAACAAAAACACTGTCAAAAATGTTCAGACACAGCCTGAACTGTTACAAGGTATTACTTGTATTGTAACTTTATGATGCGGTATATGTCTCCATCTACAGGCAAAATATGGACACTGCATTTCAACTGATGATTCAATTGATTAAATATGAAGTGGAAATAATATAAGAACAAAAACAGGAATAAAAGGTATTTAATGGCATTCTACTACTTTCAATTAAATTATAAATATTATTCTACTTTATACTTTCTATTCAAATAAATGAATTCACATAAAAATAAAAATAAATGAATAAAAAAAAATTAAAAGATTTGGAGTTCTGTAGGACAAACATGAAGTCGCGAGTTGGATGAAAGGTAAACTTGATATTGATAATTAACGAATGTTCAGGATCAGTGATGGAGAAAGGTGTGCAACAAAACCTGTTAAGTTGCATTTCGAATGAGAAATTCTGCCTGACAAAGTATTCTTGGATCATATCAGTTACCCAGTAAGGCCTTTTGTTACCAAACCCAGTCAGTGCAAACGGTGTTAGAAATTTGCTTGTGTGTAGACATAATCTTAGAATGTGGTAAATATGAAGATGAGTGGAAGAAACTGTGAAAAAGATCCCCAGTGTGGGGGGAAGGCAGGAAGCATGGCAAGGAGACTATTCAAAGGGAGACAAAAAAAAAGGGAGGAAGTCATAAAGATCAGGACAAAGAAAAGGCCTAAGCCATGAGGAAGCAGCTAGGAAAGAAAAGATTCAAAAAGTAAGGGAGAACAGGTAGGAACCATGCTGAATAAGGACAGGGTGATTAACTGTGTGGAAAGGAAATTTGACATAATAGAAATAGTTTTTGATGCTGTGAGAAGATTTGTGGATATGGTAGGAATTACTGGAGAAGAAGTGCAATTGCCTTTAAGCCCCCTCAGAGCCTAGATTGAGTAGGCTAGATTTATTGGACAATGGGATTAAGGTGGGCTTTATTTATATTTAAAGTCAGATTAGATAGCCAAATTGAGTGTCATTTTCAATCCAGTAGAAGGCAGTATTGCAACATTATTCAGCAGCCAAAAAAACGTGAAAGAGAGGTAATTAAGTAAATGTTTGAGATATCAGGGCAATTCTCCCATATAGGCCCAGCATTTATCCTGGGATGATTTCTGTTAAGTGTTTGACTACTTGTCAGGGTTGAAGGTTCACACAGACGCAACAGAGTAAGGCTCAATAAGAGGAGAGAAGAGGAACCGTGACAGCATCTTGTAGCAATATGACAAGACACACACTGGCCCAACTAACCCAATTTGTTTCCGCTTACTATACATCAGCATGTCATCTCCTTCCTCCCTCATGTCCTCAGAGACTGGATGGTATCAATTAGTAACATCATTATTGTTAACTGAGATAGATGTAAATACACTATTGAGCCTGTGCATGTCTGCCCAGTCCTTGTAGATACCAATGCATCACATTTATTGAACATAGAATGATAAATTAAGCTTCAATCTGTGTAATGTCGAAGTTCAGCATGTTCCTCCATTTGTTGTTCAGTACCCTTGCCTTTGGGATGCCGATGGATAATTGCTTCATCAACCAAGAAACCGCTGTTTCATGTCATGATGCCAGACCACAATCAGTCAACTCGCGAGGCTAATATTCACATTTTTCACTCACTCTCACCTATCAGAAAAACATTTGGCAAAGACATATTTGTATTTTGAATGCAGTGACTCATTTCATTTAGCTCATGATTCAGTGCAGTGCGAGGACAGGTGCAAGAAATAGAGAAAACACCTGTTTCAGATTCACAGGAAATGTTTTCTTTCAGTAAACCGATGACTAAAGAGAAGAAAATTACAGTTTCTTAATGAGGGAGGACAGAAATGACTCTAGTGAGGGTAGATTTTTGACTTACCGTTTGTAAAAAAGGTTAATGTTCAACTCTGCAAACACAGACTACATGCTAATGTCCAGACTACGGACAGTGACCTCGTCATGGTTAACATTCAGAACTAAAGCACTAAAGAACCAGCATCTCAAACCAAAACACAATCAGCCATCCCCCTTTGTGAAAAGTGGTCCCTGAACACACAACAAGACAACTGGGCAAGCAAAAGGATGTATAACTTTGCTATCAGTTTGCTGGCTGGAATATTGATTTTTACAGCGGAGTGGTATTTTTAGTTAGTAGTTATTATTATTATTATTAGTAACGTATTCAGCTTTGGTAAGGAGCGATTTCTTTGATCTGCCAAGTGACCTAAATCATGTAACATGTAATGTAATAATTATTATCTTGCAAGTTATCCTGCTGACTTTAGCTACCTAAAACATCAACTAAAACATGCTACAGGTAGCCTTGATTTGCATTCTCTCATGGACGCATGGCCGGCACGTATAGTGTTATTAACAATAACATTACCATCATATCATCAGTACTATTACCACCATCTATGCAACTACAACAGCTTAGCACCTTATCTACCTATTTATCTTTCTTATCTTTTGTACCTCACCATTTTATTCTATTTAAATGTACCTGGCTGCTATGACGACCAAATTTC